CCGTCCCCCAGAGAGGAGGCCATACGCGGCTCCCTGTGATCCATTCCCCCTTGCTACCTCCCCCTTCCCTTTTCTTTTAAATGCAGTCGGAAACAGTTACAAACAGCCCAGGAGCCTATAATGGCCAAATGGAGAGACATGTTTGTTGACTTCTTTTTGAGGAATGCATGGAACCCTGTTGACGGAGGGGTGACAGGTTGTGTTGCTAGGTGCAGGGTTGGCAGTTTGGAATCACCAGCTGCTCCATGGGCACAAGATGAGGCTTTCTCCTCATCTGGGAGTAGAAACCCATTCTGAGAGTTACAGTCTCAGAAAACCCCGGAACAGTTCTGTCCTGTCCTACAGGGTCCCCGTGAGTTGGAATGGGCTCGATGACAATCAGTCCGTTTGTTGCTTTAACACACAGTTCTGTTAGACATGTTCTTTACTTGACTCCTCCCCTTCTCTCCTCTTTGGGACATGCCTTTGAATAGATGGGTAGAGAAGTCCTATCAGCACTGCTGGCACAGGCTAAGTCCTAGGCAGCTAGTCCAAAGGAGCGTGTTTCCAACCCTCCAGTGGGGAGAGAAGTCTGCTTTTGTTTCTGTTTTTTTTCTGAAAATAGTTGAAATGACAAAAGAGTAAGCAGTCTAAATACCTTTCCTAAATCTATAGCTTTCGCCTTCTCACAGTTTCCTTTGTAAGCAAGACGGCACCAACGGACTATTTCAGTGCTTCCCATTTGATCTCTATTGAACATAGAGTAAAAATAGGCTTTGGGATCAGACAGTACTTAAAGTAATATGCTTTAGAATCACATCTGAGTTCGAATTCTGTCTTGCTATTTATAACATGACCTTGAACATGGTTTCTTCATCTGTCAAGCAGCTATCATAATTGTTATTACCTCATAAAGGAACCCTGGTGGCACTTAAAGTTGGTGATTTGAACCCACAAGCTGCCCCATGTAGTGGGCGGGGCGGGGGGTGGGAGCAGGGAATGGCAATTGGATTCCTTATAGATTACAGCCTTGCAAGCCCATGGGCAGTTTCACTCTGCCCGATTGAGTTGGTGCACGTGGGCATCAAATTGTCAGTGGTAGTTTTGGGTTTCATGAGGATGTTGTAAAGATTCAGTAAGAGATTGTATTCAAAGTGCCTAGTACATAATCTGTAATGGATGAATCTTGTGGCTGTTTTTATAAGGAACATGTCAATTTGGGTAAGTTCTATTTATTTTAATTAAGATAATTTGGAAAGGGAAGAAGACAATAGTTGAAATATAAAGTGGGACACATCATTTTAGGACACATCAGAATATACACTCCCATTTAAATTCCCAGTGTGATAGTCTTTGACCCAAATTGGAAAAGAGAAATTCACTTCATTTCCTAGTGAACGTTAGAGTTAAATCTTAATGATTCGACAGCAATATTTTCAGGTTCAGATTTAAAGACAAAATAAATGTTAACATCTAATAGATGAGGAGTGTAATCAATTTTACAAAATGACAGGCTTGCAAATACTGTAGGTCATCTTTATTTCTTTAGCACTTTAATATTTTATTTTTTCTTCAATGGAATGGACTAAGACATTAGGCAATATTGCAACTTTCTAAAATAAAACTGGTTTGCTTTTTTACTCAATTCTTTTCATGTATTATAAAGTAGAATTTATTATTAAAATATCAGTAGTCTCTTATTAGCACATGTTTGTTAAGCTGCTGTATCAGGTAGATTTTGCTCTGTAAAAACACATGGAAAAATTTTAGTACCTTAAAATAACAACTCTTTCTCACAGTCCTGTGAATTGACTGGGTGGTTCTTTTGGTCTGTACTGAAGGCTGGGTTGGATCATTTAGGATGGCTTCACTCGGGTTTTCTGGCAAGCTTCTTGGTGTGGGAGTGCCCCCTTACATTTTTGCAATTCGCATGGTTTCAGCTGAGGTAGCAGGCTCATGTGGCTCATTCACGTTTCCAGAAATATGGAAAAACAGTTTTCAAGTTTCTGCTGGTGACACATTTTATGTGTCACGTGGTCAGTCCTACAGCCATTGTAGGAGGTGAAACTAGCTGAGGTGTAGGTACCAAGCCAAACCCACCCCAGTCACTGCCACTGAGTCGATGCCAACTCACAGTGACCCTACAGGGCAGGGCAGAACTGTTCCTGTGAGATTCTGCGACTACCCCTGTTGAAGGGAGTAGAGAGCCCTACCTTTCTCCAACTGGTGGTTTCAAATTGCAGGCCTTGTGGATCGCAGCTCGATGTGTAACCTTTACGCCACCAGGGCTCCTCATAAAGAAGGGGAATTATGGCAACCATTTTCATAGTAACCATTTTCAGTTGGGCACTAACAAGGATGCATTCAGGACTGACTAGGGTGAGGCACATTTGTCGTACATGCAGTTTTGAGGCCCTCCAATAGTATTCAGCATTGAGAAGCTAATGGGAAAAGACCACAAGTTAATTAAATCAAATGTTATACTCAGAGGAGGAGCTTGATGGCTTTGTTGAAATGAATGATTATGAATTCACTTGGATATGGTGGTAAATATATTAAAAATGTATGAAGAACTGGGGGAAAGCGGTCTAGGGTTTGAAGATGTGATGGGAGCAGGTACTAGATTCAGCAACGGTGCTGTGGAAAGGAGGGTGCAATCAGCTGGGTGGCTCAGAATTTGAGGTGAAGTGGAGCTGCATAATGATGAAGTCGAAGATTGAGTAGGAAAAGGACAAGTACAGCGTAGAATTAGAACTCGAGTCAGGGTTCTTAGAAAGTTCATTGTTGAATGTTTTAACCTCAAAGGTGCTTCCTGGTAACACTCCTTGCTTCTGTGAGTCAATGTGATGTCACCAGGGTGGAGGAGATGAGCTAGGGCAGAGGGGAAGACTGAGAGCTGTTTGTTGGAGTCATTGAACAAGGTGGGGGCAGATTCGGTAGTATCTCAAGAACTAAAGAAGAAGAAAGATAATGCGATAATCTGCGGCTGGTCTGTATTAAAGTCATGGATGTGTTCTTCCAAGTTTTACTCATGTCTTTTTACTTGAAAAAATATTTGACTCTGTTCTATTTCCTAATGGTTTTTTATTTATTTAAAACTGATCCCCTTAGCAAACTGAAGGAACCCTGGTGGTATAGTAATGACACATTGGGCTGAGATCTGCACGATCAGTCGTGTGAAACCATCAGCCACACTTTGGGAGAAAGCCTGGGCTTACTCCTCCCTTGAACAGTTACGGTCTCAGGAACCCAGTGGGGCCCACTGAGTCAGCATTGATTGATGGAAGTGATTTGGGTTTTTTGGTTAACAAATTGGGACATGGAGGAAAGGCTGGGAAAATAGAGAGAGGGGTAAGGTTGTGGTTTTTTTTCAAGTGAATACAATTAGGATTCATTCAAAGATTCTCACCCCGTAAAGATGTTAAAATCTGAGTATGTTCTACCCACACTCATTTGTATTTTTTTGTGTTCAGGATAAATTTTTTTACCACACGGCCCCAGTTGAAAAACCACACGGCAGATTGCAAAGCAGAACATCAAGATCACAAAAGAAAAAATCCAAGTCACCTGAGAGAAGCAAGTACTGTATCAATGCCAAAAACTACGAGCAGCCTACAATTTCATCAAAATCACATTCGCCATCTCCCTACACAAAAAGACGCATGTGTGAGCTCTCTGAAGACACCAGGCGGCGGCTGGCCCATTTAAACCTGGGACCGTATGAATTCAAAAAGGAAACAGATAAGCCTCCATTTGTGATCAGACATGTAGGTTTTCTCCTAAACATTTCCATTAGAAACTGGTCAAATCTGTTCATTCACCATAATATTATTCTGAAACTTCTTCCAATTTCTAGCTTATAGTTAACACCACCCCCTGCCCCCCCCACCTCTTAGTCTAGCAGTCTAAAATGGAAAATTAATATCCAATGAAATAATTCTTTTCTGAGTCTTTAAACCTGAGCAGTGGTCACAAAGTTCCATTACCCAGGAACCCATTTCTTTCTTGTTATATAGTGGACGGCATCATAGCCGTACAAATGGAACTTGGATATAATTGACATTAGTACTAAAGTGACTTGGAGTAGAATTTCAAAAGAACAAGTATTCTTTATGGAAAAGAAGGTTCTGCCTCCCCTGTTCCCCCAAAATCCTTTCTGAAAATTTAGGGAAAGTTAAGTTTTCTGTGAAATTATATTTTATGGGTAAGTACCATACCAGTGGATCTTTGAGGTGAATTATTTGCCAGAGGTGAGAAGCAGTTGAAAGTATATATTGTTAACTTAAAGATAACATAATTCTAATATTTCTAAATAGAAGCCATTTTTAAAATAATAAATTTAGAATTTATGTCCATCTTCTGATAGTCAAATAGACTGGCTACAATTAAGGACATATAAAATATTTCATAAAAGACCTCATAATCTTTATAATATCTTGAATTAAAATAAAATAACCCCAAACGTTAAGATTTATATATATATATGTGTGTGTGTGTGTGTGTGTGTATGTGTATATATATACATATATATATATACACATCAAACTATATATATATACCAAAGATCAAACTCACTGCCATGGAGTCAGTGCTGACTCATAGTGATCCCCTGTGGGTTTCTGAGACTAACTGTTTATGGGAGTAGAAAGTAGAGTCGTTCTCTCCCCTGGAGCTGCTGGTGGTCTTGAATTGCTGACCATGATGATTGTAGCCCAATGCGTAACCACTACCACACCGGGCACCATGTATATATATAATATATCATATATAAATATATATATATATACATATAGTTACATAAAAAGAACTCAAAATTCAAGTGCCTGTAGAAGTGTGACAACTTTTTGAGATATCTATAAAACTCTTTCTGGTGTTAATGTTTTAATTCATTATTTCCAAATTCCAAAATGAGTTAGCCCATCATATAAATAAGCGCTCTGTTGGTCTGGTAGGTTTTGAGCATGCAACATCTAAAAGATTTTCTTTGTGATACCTTTTGAAAATAAAATCAGATGGACTTTAAGCCACATATGATGCTATCTTTATATTTTGATAATAGATACTTTATTCTAATTTTAGTAAAGAAATGTGCTATAAAAGGGAATTTTAGTGTGATATGGGTACTTTTAAATAGTGATATTTAATATAAACAAAATACTGAGGTTATTTTGATTACACTTGTATTTGTCTTAATTCTGTAGAATTTGATTATGGGTACTGGCCACATTTTGTTGTTTATTTGAAAAATACCCAGATATTGTGTAGTTGACTTTTGATGACAGTTTTAGATTGCTTCTAATTCTGCCGACAATTGCAAATACAATGGGAAAGAATGAACATAACAAGCCTGATGGAAGAAACAGTGACATTTAAATTAAAATAGTTATTTACAAAAGTAGCCGTGAATAATTTGGGGGATTAGTCACATAAATATTGTTTAGGGAAATAACTGCTCATAAAGTGTTTGTACAATTTTTATGCCGATTGTTTAAAAAGGATAATTGTAATGATGGTAGGTATAAGCCTTGGCATTTTATTTTAAAAGCCCTGCCCCTTCAACAAACTGGTGACTAAAGAATATTTTCTTTACTTCATACATACATATGTTGCAAACAGTTAACACTTTTATGAGAGACATTCTATTTGTATGTATGTGGTATAAAAAGTGCCCTTAGAGAACAGGAAGGGCTTCGAGAAATCAGCATGCTCCTACACAATCCAGCACAGTCGTTTAGGAAGGGTTACATGACACTCTTTTCTTTTACCTTGATGCATAACAGGATGTTTTTATTTTATTGTGGTAAAATTTACTCTTTTAATCATTATAGAATGTACAACTCATTGACCTTCAGTACATTCACATTTTTGCATAACCATCATTGTTAGCTAGTTTCAAACACTGTTTTGCCAATGCAAAGGAAATCTTGTTTCCATTAAGCATTCACGCTCTCTCCCTGCAGTTGCCTACTAGATATTTCATAATAGTGGAATTATACCACATATGGCTTTTTGTCTGTTTTATTTCTTTTTTTACTCGTTTCATTTTAGTTCTCAAGCTCCATCAATGTTGCAGCATGGTACTTTATTAGGGTTTTTTTTCTTTTGATGGGATATCAAAAGATATATTCCATTGTATGGATGTGGTACATTTTGTTTATCCATCTAGTAGTTAATGGGTTTTTATGTTGTTTCTACCTTTTGATTAGTGTGAATAGTGTTTATAATGGGATGCAACATGGGGAATACCTAATGGTGTAATGGAATATTTCAATTTCTAATCTGTTTATTTTAAAGAATGCGTAAATATATATTTAAACATTTTTGGAATTTAATTTAAATTTTGTTTTAAAATGAGCAACAAGATAAGCTGGCTAACCTCTTAAGTTCTATGGAGCATGCCTCACTCTTAAAGGCACTGTCACATTAGGCTGATAACACGTGGCTAATATGCTGTTCTTTTCTAGTGCCATGGTACTGAAAGACTGGGAATATATCAGCTCTATTTTACATTGATGCTCTGATTCCTCTAGGTTGATCCGCCAAGTCCCAGAGCTGATGCTTTCTTTGGATCTTCTGGCAGAGATTGTGAAAGAGATGGGTGGTCCAGGATGCACAATGGTAAGCTAAAAGTTAGCATCTACCCCTATTATTTTAGTTACTTTTGCTATGTCCAGTCTTGACCTTGGCATTGATAAACAGAAACAGAGTCTTTGTTACGTCACTGGATAACATGGCATAATATAGCACTGCCCAACTTGTGGGAAACACATATAAATACTCTCCATCATCTAAGTTCTATGCTGCTATAAACTTACCACCCTCTTTGCAATTCAAAATGTGTATGTGCTTATTATTAGAGACTAATACACTCATAAAATAAGTTTGAATATATTCATTTTGTTTTACTCACTATTTCCTTACTAATTTGACTATGGAACTTGTTAATCCATTTATAAAAGCATGAAGATTACATAATGTATGTAAAGTGCCCTGGCACATAAGACACTTAATATCAACTGTTTTCATTATTCACTGCCATCAAGCCCACTCCGACTCATAATGACCCTGTGTGCTTCGAAAAGCAGAGGAGCAGTGAAAAAGAAGAACAGATCTTGTTAAAGCTCTGGTTGTGCTTCTTCCAAAAGAGATTGGTTTGTCCTTTTAGCATTCATGGAATTCAATATTCTCCCAACACCACAATTCACATACATCACTTCTTGTATTCTTCTGCGGTCTTCCTTATTCAGTGTCCAACTTTCACATGCATATGAGGTAACGGAAAATACCGTGACTTGGTATTTAGTGCTCAAAGTAACATGCTCGCTTTTCTGTACTTCAAAGAGGTCTTGTGCAGCAGATATACCTAATGCAGCACGTCTTTTCATCAAGATTTGGGGAAGACTAACATTACATCAATATGCAGATGACACTCTTGCTTGGGGAAATCAAGGAGGGACTTGCAGCACTTGCTGATGAAGATCAAGGACTGCAGCCTTCAGTGTTAATTACAACACAGTGTTAACAAAAATCCTCACAACTGAACCAAAGGGCATCATGATAAAAGGAGAAAAGATGCAAGTTATCAAGGACTTTTCTTAGGTCCACAGTCAATGCTCATGGAAGCAGCAATCAAAAATCAAACAATATATTGCACTGGGCAAATCTACTTCAAAGACCTCTTTAAAGATTTGGTAGTTGAAAAATAGACCCTTGGCAATAATTATGACATTGGTGATCACATGATAAATTTTGTGAGACCAATGATGTATTCTATGGAAATACCATTTTTTGACAACACAAATGGTTACTGTACCCATGGAACTCACCATATAGAATACACAGAAATCAAAATTACTACATCTGTGGAAAGAGACAGTAGTGAATCTGAGCATCTTCAACCAGATAATGCCAGAGGCTGACTGGAACAAATTATCAAATGCTCACATGAAAATTCAAGTTTAAGTTTAAGTCCATAAAAACTAAAATTGATCTTGAGTATATCTCACCTGAGTATAGAGACCACATGATTCATTGAACACTAGTGAATCAATAAGACATATTATGGCATGACATCAAGAATATCATATGAAGGGGGGACCCCTCCAAAAAAAACCCCAGAAAAAAAACTCCACTGGGCAGAGCTTTCGTAGTATACATTTTTCCTGCTAGGTGAGCATCCAGCAACTTTCTCTGAAGTAGTGCACCCAGTGGCATCACAGTGGAAGGTCCTCTCTGTCCACAGTAAATTTTTCGTAAAAGCAGTTTCCCTGAAGCCTCGTGTTTTGTGATGGAGGATTTAAGAGAACAGCATGTGGCTGTGAAATTTTGTTTCGTGCTCAGGAAAAATGCTGCAGAAACTCATGTTGAATACAGCTTACAAGAACAGTGCTATGGGAAAAACTCGAGTATACAAGTGGTTTTCTCCTTTCAAAAAAGGTGAAATGTCAATTGATGACAAACCTTGTTCTGGACGTTCATCAAGTTCCTGAACGGATGAAAATGGCAACACAATTCATGTACTTGTGCTTGAAGATTTAAGCTGGATCATGAAGAGATGTGTGAGTTATCTGGACTCTCTTGGAGCTGGTCATTGAGTTTTAATGAAATACTTGGGAACGAGAAGGGTCACTGTGCAATTTGTGCCTTGGGTTCTGACTGACCAGGAAAACCAGTGTTGAGTGGAAACATGTTGTGCTTTAAAAGAATCTCTCTGAAGTAACCCAGAATTTTTTCTCTCCAAGTTTATTACTGGTGATGTGCCCTGCTGCTATTCTTATGATCGCCAAACCAGTGGAAGCCAGTGGAAGATCACCCCAAAAAATCTTGTCAAGTGAAATCAAAGATCAAGACGATGCTCATTTCTTTTTTTGATGTGAGGGGGATAGTGCATTTGGAGTTTGTTCCACTAGGTCAAACTGTTAATCAAGCTTTCTATTTAAAGGTTCTGAAAAGATTGCATAACAGTGTGTGACAGGAAAAAAAGCCTGATTAGTGGCAGACGCGGGACTGGTTCTGCCACCGTGACAATGGACCTGGTCAAGCAGCTATCTCAGTGCGCCAGTTTTTGGCAAAAAACAGCATGCCTCTCTTGCTCCATACACCTTATTCACCTGGTTTCACTCTGTGTGACCATTTTTTGTTTCTGTGAATGAAGAGGGACATGAAAGGACAGTGACTTTTGAAGAGATGAAGAACAAACCAAGGGAGGCACTGTCAGCCATCCAAATAGATGAGGAGTTTGAAAAATGTTTCCAAAAATGGAATCACAGATTTGAACAAATGTGTTAAGTGTAATGGAGAGTACTTTGAAGGTGTAAGGTTGTTTTGTAAAAAAACGTAAAAACATAGTTTGGGGGTGGGGTTCTGTTTTTCATATATGAAAAAAGCAAAAGCAAAAAAGTCATTAAAAAATGCTCAAAATGGATGTCAGAAGAGACTCCGAAACTTGTTCTAAAAGGTAAAGAAGTTAAAGCTGCGACCAAAAATGATGACCTTAAATGAATAAACAAAATTTCAAAGGGCAGAACAAGAAAACTAAGTAAAGTATTATAATGAAATGTGCTAAGGCTTGAGTTTGAAAAACAAAATAGAAGAACTCTCAGCGTTTCTCAAGCTGAAAGAAATGAAGAAAATATTTAAGACTCGAGTTTCAATATTGAAGGATTCTATGGGTAAAATATTGAAAAATGAAACAAGCATCAAAGAAAGTGGAAGGAAACAGTGTCAATGTACCAAAAAAGAATTGGTCAACATTCAAATATTTCAGTAGGTCATATATGATAAGAAAGGGAGAAGTTTAAGTTGTACTGAAAACATTGGTGAAAAAGAAAACCCAGGACTTGATACAATATCAGTTAAGACATTTCAACAGATGAATGCACTACTGGAAATACTCAGTTGCCCATGCCAAGAGATTTGGAAAACACCTATCTGGCCAGCCAAAAGGAAGAGATCCATGTCTATTTCAAAGAAAGAAGATTAAACTAAATGCAGAAATGATCAAATAATATCATTACTTCACAGGCAAGTAAAAGTTGCTGAGGATAATTCAAACACAATCACAACACAGCACTGAGAACTGTCAGAAATTCAAGTCAGATTCAGAAGAACATGGGAAATGAGGAATATTACAGCTTCCATCGGATGGATCTTGGTTAAAAGTTGAGAATACCAGAAAGATGTTTAGCTGTGTTTTATTAGCTACATAATGGCATCTGACTGTGTGGATAATATGGTGAAGAATGCAAATTCCTGAACACTTCATTGTGCTCTGTCCATGTATATGTGGAGCCTGTGCATAGAACTAGGCAGTTGTTTTAACAGACTAAAGAGATTGTTGATTGGTTCAAAATCAGGTGTGTGTGAGGGTTGTATCCTTGACCATACTTATTCAGCCTGTATGTTGAACAAATCATCGCACATGCTGGGTATCTGGAGAAGAACACGACATCAAGATTTGAGGTAGGCTTATTAACAAACTGTGATATACAAGTGACGTAACCTTATTGGCTGCAAGTGAAGAAACTCGAAGCACCTGCTGAGAGAAGATCAGGATTACTCTTCAATGTAATGACAATAAAAGCCCTCTCAACTGGACCAGTCAACAATATCTTGATAAGTGGAGATCATTTCAAGGGCTTCCTTTTACTCAGATCGACAATCAAACCTCATGGCAGCAGCAGTCAAGAAATAAAGTATGTATCGTGTTGGGACAATCTGCTGTAAAATATTTCTTTAAAGTGATAACAGCAGATATGTCTCTTTGAGAACTCAATGACTCAAATTCTGGTATTTTCAGTCTCATGAAAGCTGGACAATGAATAAGAAAGTCTTGAGGAGAAATGATACACTAGGTTTATGGGGTTGGCAAAGTGAATCAGATACACAATGGATGATAGAAGAACCAACAAGTCTGTGTGAAGAAGTGCTCCCAGAATGCTCCTTAGAAACGAGGATATTGAAAGTTTATCTCACATACTTTGGGTATGTAGTCAAGAGGGATCAATTCCAGGGGAACGATGTCGAGCTTGAGAAAGTAGATTAGCCAAAAAAGAGGAAGACCCCCCCTGAGATGGATCAACGGTGGCAGCAGCGTGGGTTCCATCATAGCAATGACAGCAGCGGACAGTGTTTTGTTACTGATCACCAAATAATCATCTGATAAACTAGACTCCATTTGCTACATTCACCAGTTCCACCAGGCACAGTGAGGATCCTGGTGGCATGGGGTTGATGTGTTGGGTTACTAACCAAAAAGTCAGCTGTATGGCCCCAGCAGCTGCTCTGCAGGTGACAGTTGTGGCAGCTTTCTTCCCTTAGATCTAATCATATGGATCAGTTTTGTAAATCATATGGATCATTCTACTTCGTTTTATTGGATTGCTTTGAGTGGGATTAGTCACATATTACCTGTGGGTGGTTTAATAACTTGGCATTTGATTAATTTTAGTGTGTGGCAAAGCCATTTGGCTAACAAATTAATAATCTCATATTTCTGAAACTAAAGAACACTTTATTCTAAGATATTTTATTCTTAGACTAAAGAACCCTCATTGCCCTTTGCTTTTGATTTTACAATAAGGCAATTTTTGAAGGTCCCTATATTGGTGGAAGCAGCACTGAATTACTGAGCCCTCGGTTTCATCATTTGTTGGCTAGATAGAAGTGCCTGTCTTGCAATGCAAAGCTGTTGCTGGGTGCTGCTGAGCCTGTTCTGGCTGCTAGCCACCCCTCTGTACAACAGAAGAACGCACCTCTTGGTTCTGGGGCTTGCTCAGGATTGTTGTCTGACCATACCGTTGCAATGCTGTGTTAATCCAGCTCTGTGATGCTCTTCCGTCTTGACCGTCTTCCTCTTCACTGTTGTACGTTCCCAAGCATAATGACCTTTTCCAGGGGCTGGTCTCTCCTGGCAATGTGTCCAAAGTATGTGAGACTGAAATCTCACCATCGTCACTTCTCAGGAGCATTCTAACTATACTTCCTGAAAGACAAATGTGTGTGTTTGTTTGGCTATTCTACATTGTTTGAATATTCTTTGCCAGCACCATAATTCAAATGCCATCAATTTGCCTTTGGTCTTCTTTATTCATTGTTCCACTTTCACATGCATAAGAGGCAATTGAAAATACCTGGGATTTGATCAGATGTACTTTTGTCTTTAAAGTAACATTTTGCTCTTTAACACTTTAGAGCGGTCTCATGTAGCAGATTTGCCCAGTGGATTATACCATTGGACTTCTTGACCACTGCTTCCATAAGCCATGAATTATAGATTCAAACAAAAGTAAATCCTTGACAACTTCAATTTTTTAAATTTGAAATTGGAATAATTTATTAGCCTAACAAAAGTACAAGCAATGGAGAAATTAGTGTGTGAATCATTTCAGAGAGCAGAGAAAGCTCCACATGAGCAGATTTTCAGGAGATAAGAGTCGGATTTAAGACGTGGCCACACGGCTTCTAACTACCTCAGGGGGGTGTTGTGGCGGTATGACCGTATGATTGGTGGTTTCGACTTTTGGAAACAGATGACACAAACAAAGGAACGAGAGAGGTGGTCGCTGAACCGTGGCTGATGGCTGACAGGCAGAGATGCTGAGAGGCAGGGACGGCCGAGTGGGCCAAAGGTGCTGACGATGCAGTACATGGTCTTGTTCTCCCAGCACACAGTGCAACTCCCGTCTGTGGAACTTTCCCAGAAGCAAGAGCTCGCCGTGGACAGCCTGGCTCCATTCTTCTGCATGAGGACACTGGTCCCGATGCACTTAAGTGGCTTTCCCAGCTTGCTGAGCCAGCTCTGCGTCTGCTCCCCGACATTCGTGGTCCATTAGTTCACCTTGCCATGCGGGTAGGCATTCCTACCAATCGATCACAATCTCCTTAGCCTCTTTGACGATGTTGCTCACGTCATCAACCATCATCAGCCTGGTAATCCTCCATCTTCCCTGCCTTGCTATTGCCGCCTAATCTTTTCTTCTTTCTTTTATTTATTTTTTATTGTGATATCATCCATTGGTCCAATTGTGAAGATTTTTGTTTTCTAGATGTTGAGTTGTATCCATACTGAAAGCTGCAGTTCTGGATCTTCATCAGCAAGTGCTTCAAGGCCTCCTGGATTCCAGCATGCCAGGATGTTCCATCTGCATATCGTAGCCTGTAAACAAAACCCTCTTGTCCTCCTGATGCTGCAATCTCTCTCATATAATTCATCTTCCTGGATTATTTGCGCAGCATTCAGATTGAATACGTATGGTGAAAGGGTGCACACCTTTCTTGATTTTAAATACTCAGTATTTCCTTGTTCTGTTCATATGAACACCTCTTGTTCCATTTATATATAAAATAGCAATGCACATTTGCTGAATGTGTTTTCTGCTAGCCAGTATTCAGAGTACTATTTGGTTAATTTTCAGAGTAACCTCATGTTTTAGGTCTAGATTCTATTATTTATCTTCATTTAACTGATGAGAAAACCTGAGGTTGAAAGAAGCAGGATTGGTTGTTCGCACATGAGATCTGAACTAATTCTTCTTATAAATACTTTCCTTGAGCATAATCTATTCTTTTAGGCCTAGTTCAGGTTCCCCTCACTTGAATTTTCTTGATTGCTTTTTAACCATGAAAGATTGTTCTGCCATTTTATGGCATTAATTGCCTATATGATTTCTGACTTTTAGTCTTTTCTTTCACGCTGCTGCTCTTCACCTTGGCATACTTACCTGAAACAGATGGTAAGCACTTTGTGACCTTGGGCTATGGCTTTGTTATCCCCTACACTTTGAAGCGAGCTCTAACAGTTGTTGGTGAAGAAGATTAAATGTGAACATTAAGCAAAGTCAAAGCTTAATTTGTGCAAATTAAAGGAGATAGTAGACTAATGTAGGGATAGTTTCAAAATGGTTTATGGAAAGAGAGAGACATGGCAGAGTTTTAGCATACTGACACTTTTAGTGTTACATGAACTTCCGAAAGAAACTAAAACCACCTCGAGAAAATACAGCTGACTGCATTTTCTTCCATATAGTGTGCTGCACACACGAACCTGTCTTGTTTAAGCTAGAATTTGATAGTGATAGTATCCATGCTGCTGTTAGCAATAATAGTTAACATTTTTGTGTTTTATGGAATCTTTAATATAACATTAAAGAGGTACTCTTATGGTCCCTATCATTAGATAAAGAATTTGGAACTTAGAAGGTTTATGTAATTTTCTCTGGGTCATACAAGAACTGGTGGTGCCTGGGCTATAATGCAGATCATTTTCCCTTGTGGGTCTATACAGTACATTGGGCTACTATTGTGTAAAGCTGGCCTTTGGGGTACCACCATTGCATTTTAGCCTTGTCTCCAAGAAGAGATGCACGTGTAGCTTAACAATACCTATATCATCAATGTATAAAAATTATAGTTTATCACATACTGTTTTTATCTAAATTATCCATTCCATGTGGAAAGATTGGTTTATTGACTAAAAAGTTTTCCCATCTATATTCAGGTATTTCTTACTCTAGTGAGAAATAACCCTGTTAGGCAGGGTTCTCTAGGGAAACAAAACCAGAACACTGGTGATGAGAGATGATAGATAGATAGATAAATAGATAGATGATAGATAGATAGATAGATAGATAGATAGATAGATAGATAGATAGATAGATAGAT